TATATATATATATAATTTTATGATGATGGCGGTGATCAAAGATTGAGATATGTAAAAAAACGAAAAAAAAAAATAATTTAGTAAACAATATATAAAACCAGTTTATTTATTTATTTTTATAAACACACACATTGACCCACATGAGAATGTGAGAACCACAGAATCAAAAGTTAATTGATATGTACGGTCCACAATTAAAGACCATGTAGTATGAACTCCACACATTTAGTCAAATCAAATGACATAATTAGCAGTTACCTAGAATCTCTTAAAAGTGCATGGACATACACCCAACCACAACATTATAAATACGTGAGGATCTCATAACTTGACATACCACCTCCCATCCCATTTGTCTCTTACCATCTGAGCTTCCCAGCTAAAACACCCTCTACTTTGTAAAGAACCATTCACTACATCTTTTTGCATCTCTAGTGATCATGGGTAGGTTTCTGGCCATGAACAAATATTTTGCTGTTTTTCTTGCACTAGTTGCATGCCATGATTCCCTTTTGACTCATGGTAGAGAAATAAAGCCTTTCACCCGTATTCCCCAGCCTCTTAAAGCCATTGTTAATAATGATCCTACTCCATCATTAGAGAAGAAAGATGAGTCAATCGTGACATCGAAGTATGGTTTTGCAAGTTTTGGAAACTCAGGTGTAGCCTACACAAATGGTTTCCGACCTACAACACCAGGAAACAGTCCTGGGGTTGGTCACCGAAAATTTGCAGAAGAAGACAAAGATATGAAAGCGAAAGTGGTAGTTAACAGTCCTGATGTTAAAGTTTATGTGACTGAGGGGACAAAAAATGGTTTCAAACCTACAGACCCCGGTCACAGTCCCGGTGTTGGTCATGCTCAGCAAAACAAACTAGTCAACTGAATTAGTCACATAAACAAATAAATTCTTATAGCTCCCAAAATATATATGTTAATGTTCTTTTATCAGGTCTTCAATTATTCTTGCATGCCAAACTATGCATCTGGCATGGATTCACCTTGACTTTAATTGATTGGTTAATTAAGGTCAATAGGAATTTTATGTGAAAGTGATCAATTTGTCATAAGTCGTCATGTACCATTTAAAATGTTAGCATGTGTGTATTTGCAATTGCTGGGTTTATGTAAAGCAAAAGTTGCAAAATAAATGAAAAATATTATGTATACAATTAGATCTTGCACTACTAGAAAAGCTCAATTTAAAGGCAAAACTTAAAGTCAGATCTTGTAAAATTTTCCTATTTTCTTTATTCGGTGATGGATATATAATTTCTTCTTATACAAACAGAAAGCAAATTTTATTATACTTTTATATATATAAAAAAAGAATTTATTTGTAGAAAATAATATTATTTTATATCAATTTTTATAGTTTACTCTGTATGTTTTTGTTAATTAATCCTAGCACAGATATTTTATCATAATTTGAACCTAACTATAACTTCTGTTGGCTCAATAGTGCTAGTCAGATAGGTCATTCACCTAATTAAATACAAAACACTTTAAAAGAAATATTAATTATAACATTTATATATTGTTTGTTCTGACAATATTTCTCTATATATTACTCTCTCAGATTGTTATTGTTTCACAAGTTCAAATCTTATACATGTACATATATTCATCAGTATTAAACTTTTTTCCTTACGACATTACATATGTACACATTTAAGGTCAAGATATGTAGTATTTAACTTTGCTTTTTTTGATTGATATAATAATCTTGTAATTTGTCTAACAATCATTTCTCTAATTTGATCTTGTAAAGAAATTGATTATCTGGGTAAGTTAGAAGGAAAATAGTCTCTTGAATAATCGATTATTCTAGAAATAATCGATTATCTAGGAGCAAATTTGAAAGATAGTCTCTGGAATAATTTTTTTATTGAGAATGATTATTTTAGAGGTAAAGCAGATAACACATTGTTTGTAAAGAAATTTAACAAAGATACAATGTATGTTCAAATCTATGTAGATGATATTGTTTTTGGATCTACTAATCTCTCTCTATGTAAAGAATTTGCTAAGACCATGCAAGGTGAATTTGAGATGTCCATGATGGGAGAAGTTACATTTTTCTTGGGATTACAAATTAAGCAAATGAGTGATGGAATCTTCATAAGTCAAAGCAAGTATTGCAATGAGCTATTGAAAAAGTTTGGTATGGAATGGTGTAAGGAGGCTACAACACTAGTATCAAACTCATGCAATCTTGACCTGGATGAGAAAGGGATAGCTGTTGACAATTCAAAATACAGAGGTATTATTGGATCACTTTTATACTTGACAGCTAGTAGACCTGATATAATGTTTGTTGTGTGCTTGTGTGCAAGATTTAAGGCTAATCCAAAAGAGTCTCATACGAAAGTTGTTAAGAGAATACTTAAATATCTAAGAGGAACAATGAATGTAGGGCTATGGTATCCAAAAGGAGTCTCACTAAGTCTGATAGGATATTCAGATTCAGACTATGTTGGGTGTAGACTTGATAGGAAAAGTACAAGTGGTACTTGTCACCTACTTGGAAGTGCACTTGTCTCATGGCATAGCAAAAAGCAAGCATGTGTTGCTTTAAGCACAGCTGAGGCTGAGTACATAGCCACTGGCAGCTGTTGTGCACAAATCCTCTAGATGAAATAACAATTAAAAGACTATGGAACTGAACTGAACAAGATTCTTTTAAGATGTGATAACACAAGTGCAATCAATCTCACAAAAAATCCAATCTTACATTCAAGGATAAAACATATAGAAATAAGACATCATTTTTTAAGAGATCATGTTCGAAAGAATGATTGTGTGGTAGAGTTTGTTGAGACAAATAAACAACTAGCTGACATATTTACAAAACCACTACCAAAAGAAAAGGTTTAACCAACTAAGAATTGAACTTGGTATAATCAATGAATCTTGTTTGAATTGATTGTGAATGTGCACTTGAAAATGATTGTTTGAATGAAATTTGAGTGATGTGTGTATAAAACATTGAAATATGGTTAATAAAAGAGAGTTTTTAAGAGTTGAAATGAATTAGGGAAGTTCTATAAGGTTTAAATAAGTAAAACAAAGTTTCTCTAAAATAATCGATTATCTTAAAATATAATCGATTATCTTAAGTAAAACTAAGCAAATAATCGATTATCTGGAAAGATTTGAATTCCAGAAGTCTCTAGAAAAATCAATTATTTGGGTAAATAATTGATTATCTGGGAAGAGAGAAACTTTGACCCTCTGTAATAATCGATTATTTGGGTAAATAATTGATTATCTGGGTAAGTTAGAAGGAAAATAGTCTCTTGAATAATCGATTATTCTAGAAATAATCGATTATCTAGGAGCAAATTTGAAAGATAGTCTCTGGAATAATTGATTATTCTAGAAATATCAATTATTTAGTGTAGAAAGGGTTTATATTATGAACGGTCCAAAAGATTTTATGTTTGCATGACAATTTTTAATATACTTTTTAAACAAACTATATCATTGACTCTTTTTTTTTTTTTGTGATCACACACTTATATAAGTCTAACTCTTTAATTATTTAATGAGACATTATTTACAATTTTATATTTTAAATAAATTTTAACTAATACTAAAAAATGTAATATAGAATACGTCAAGAAGTGTGCTATTAGATTCCTAAAGTGAAAATTAAGATACACAAGTCTAGTGACTTTTTAAAAATAATCACATGATTTAAATCTCTTAATTTTTGTCATCCATGGGCGGGGAATAACGATGGATTTGAGAGGAATCATTTTTCTCCTAAATCCAAGTTACCAAGTGACAACGAACTAAAATTTCTGGCTAATTCATTCATCATTTTCTCACAAATTATCTTATTAATTTATCATTATTTTGTAACGATCTATCATGATTACAAATACTGAGAATATATATATATATATATATATATATATATATATATAGACACACACAAATACTTAGATATATACTATATAACATGCATATAAGTGTAAAACAAATATATAAATATAAAATAGTATAAATACAGTAATTCAATAAATGTCAAAGTAGTATCTAGCTATATGCCATTAATATGGCTCCACATGAACATCATCAATTCACATCACATCATATGGATACATTACAACTAATGTCTTGTCACGCATTAACTTACGAAGATCTTCTAAAACACTTAAGCAATCTAAGTGGCTTGACTCTACCGAACTAACCCGATCGTTTTCACGTCTCATGCACCCACTAGATCGATATCTAAATTGAGATACTAATCACTATCCTCTGATTTTTCAGGTATCACCACTTACACTAGGAAATTTTGGTTCCATCATTAAGACTAGTATAACTGGGTATAGTCATATCACGACCTTGACATGCATTACCAAATTATTTGTGAGATTAGCCCACTTATAAACTATTCTCAAGAAACCATGCAACCTTTAGAGTAATCAGTTAAGGGTTATAACCCTTAACTTCATACTTTACTCTAACATTGACCATGGACCTAGAAGACACTCAACAAATCAACTCCAAAAGTTCCACACCTACTCAAGGAGGGTTTTCAACAACTAATCTTCTAGAGCATCACAACAACAAAATCCCTTACATGAGATATCCAACTTTCAAATCAACATTCTTTCTTCTAATCCTAAGCTAATCAACATGTTTTAATGCCTATAGCATGTTTAGCATCAACACCTCAACACACATCATCCAAATATTATCCTAGGTCAATAAATATAGATCAATTCACACAAATCATGCATAATGTACCAATGTTCGACAACTCATTTAAGTATAGCAAGCTCATCAACAATTCAACCATTCAAACATCCACATATATTATCCCAAATCAATATACATAGAACTATCATCATCATTCAACACACAATATGCAATAAATTCAAGAATTCTATTAATGTTCACCTTAAGAATCACCAAACAACAATATATAACATGCAAAGCAACCCATGCTCGGTGCAACATATACCTTGTGACTGACACCATTAAGGAAAAGAGTGCCTCTTTGCCTTGTTCATTCTTGACATCACTCAATCAAGGCTCGACTTGACTGAGGTAAGGAACTCCTGGGACCTCATGCTTGGCATGGCAAAATCCAATGCCTAACCTCATGCAAACTCGAGACAATTCTCTCTCTTCATGCCCAATGCCACTCTTTTGGCGTTCGACATGAATCCAACCTGAGACAATTCTCTCACCTCACGCCTAGCGTCATTTGTACTATATCCGATGCTAATTCAACTTGAGATGATTCACTTTACTCACGCTCAGTGCCACCGATTATGGCTGGATGTGAGCTAGACATAGTACTCTAACTGAAGATCACGCCTAACACCATGAAGGCATGCCCAAAACAATAATGAACTCTACATATAACAAACCCTCAAAATTGTCCCTAAGGTACTTAAAACTTAGCAAACCAAACATCCATTGCAAAATTTCATACATATGCATCGCATACAATTCATTTCTCATCCAAACCACAACATGCAAACAACAAATCGTTCAAAGTCATCAAATCACCAAGACTCAACCTTGCTTACTTCAAAAGCAACTCAACATACTCCAACTCACAAGTCAAAATTTCATTATGCAAGCCACAAAATCATATCATTAACCAGCATACAATGCAAACAATTCAACATGAATCCAAAGCCTAGTTTTCCTTATCACAACTCTAAGCTAAACAAGTAAGGAAAAGAAGAAGAAGGAAAAACTCTGAGCTTCCAAGCTCCACACCGATAACACTTGATTCTTAGTTAGATGTTTTGAATCAACACCCTCTAATCCTCAAAGATCTCTTACTCCATGGGGAATTAATGTTACATCTGTAAGTTCATGTCTTCCATATGTGTCACTATTTTGCATAACTCATTCACAATTTTGTGAAGGATTTGCAAGCAAAAGATTTCATTGCTCATTCCTGAGGAATTTTCCAATAGATAACTCCCTCATTAAATGAAATTTTATTTTTTAACTTTAGCTAAGAATTTTGCGAGGGCATAACTCTCTTGGTAATTAACTATTGACTCTAGTGGGAGAAAAGTGATGAATAAAAGGTGGTCACCAATTTCTTGCTATTTAGTGAGGAAGTAATGAAGAAATATGTCCTACACTGATATGTCACAAATTAGCAAGGGGATAGAAAGGCATTGTTATCCTCTCTAATATCTTATTAACTAGCGACAGATTCACGAGGGAATTAATCATTTGCTAAATTATCT